GTCTCCTTGTGTTTGGACAATAGAAGTATCATCGCAAACCTAGTGGTCTTCTGATTTCCGCCTTCTCGCGTCAGGACTATTAATTTCTCGACCAGTCCATAATAATAACTTAGCGACGAGTACATAACAATTTGGCGACGGGGAAAACTAGTACATAACACTATTCCTTCAAGTTCCCAGTGGAACATAAGACTTCAAACTACAGGCTTGAAGTTTCCCTGGTAGAGTGGTGTTGGTTTTTACGAGATGGGATTGCTAGTCTCATGCCTAACCTTGCCTCTTTATCAGTCTTATTACTGGCTTAGCGATGTTTTAGAGTGCGTTGGTCGGGGATCAAACTCCAGACCACATGAGGCGTGGTTGGCGAGCACTCTACTGCTTTGCCACTGACACGCGTAGCAATCACTAATGAATCTAATTTCAAAAATTAAAGACATAACGAATAATGTTTTGTTCATCAAGGTATTTTTATTATTTCCTGCGGGATGTAATTGACTACCATATGTGCACCATATGTGCGTCGGTGGCACAGTGGTTAGGACTCTCGCCGACCATGCACATGGTCCGAGGTTCGAGCCCGCACCGACGCACACCTGATATCTATGGTCGGCCTGCGAAATTTGGGCTACCGATATCCACGCTGAAAATTCCATACTTGTACCAAAAATACGGTGTGGAATCAAGCTGTAATCAAAAATAAATAAATAAAATAAATAAATAAGTGTTACTTGATTTTCAGAGTTTCACATATTGACTAGAATGATATCGAAACTTTCGCAATTAAATTACCTGTTTACGAGAAAAGTAGGCATTATAATGTGAACATTCATATCAGATACAGATCCATCATCTATCATGGAGGGAATAATGTCAGACATCATGTTATTTGATTGATAGGGGGCTTGTAGCTAAATCAGACATGCTTGTTTCGTCTTATCTAGGACTCGTCAAATGGATGAAACTATTATGGGTGGGAAAACCATTACTCATTGGGAAACAAGCTTAATCCAACCAACCACTTATCAATAGGACGAAACAAGTAGTTTGTATTCCCTGATGCCCTTGTCACCATTAGATTATTAGGCTTTAGGTATCATGTTTGGCTAAGTAATAAGCTGATATTCGGAGGAAACCACCCTCCAACTAGTTTAACACTTCACCAGTTTTCTAGTCAGTCCTAAAAGCCCAGAAAAAGACTGAAGGTTAAGAGTGAAGCTAACCACTGCACCCTGGTAGATCAATCCAATCTCCACAGATACTTCAGAGCACAACAAAACTATAAAACACAAACTCATTCTTCCCTGGAATCTGAGAGACAAATTCACGAGGGCTGGTGAAAGACTTCGGGACGCCAGTCAATCAGTCAGTCATTCAGCCGGTGTATCTTCTTTCGACAGAAACAAAAATAACGATGGGGATGTGAAATATTCACTTTAAATGCTGTGCTAAATTGACGACAGAAGAACGACAAGGTTGCCTATTATCGCCGATGATACTGCTAACTGTGGTGGACTGGATAATGCAGAAGACCATGGGGAGCGAGATTACAAGAATAAATCCAACCGACAAGAAGACTAAAGAAAACCTGAATTTCGAGGACTTACAGACGAAAACAAACAATTTGGCAGAAGAAGTAAGGTGTGAAGACAGGACTTCAAGTGAACATTGAGAAGACGAAGGTGATGGAAATAATCAGCCAAGCACAATAACAAGCAACAATCGCTATTAACGGAGTAAATTTGAAAGAGGTTACTTCCTTCACTTATCTACAAAGCAAAGTCTCTACTTCGGGCGATATAGCGGATGAGGATGTCAAAATCAGGCAGAATCGAAAATACAAGGGAGACCTTCATCACTCTGTAATCAGCTTGAAATCTTCTGCACTCCACAGCACAAAGAACAAAATTCAAATTTTCAACGCCAATGTTAAGTCATCCGGCTCTTCAGTATGAGTAAGAAACTTGGTGTTAGTGTAATGGGAAGAATTTCCAACAACTTACTGCAAACTTTTAACAACAGTTAACTCCACCGGCTCCATAGTGAAGATCAAAGGGCCGGAAAGAATTAGGAACACGTTACTCTGGAGATAAACCAACCTAGAACCTATTTCTCAACAAATATGTCAAAGAAAGCGGAGATAGGATTTTCATCATGAGCTGACATTAGTTAGAGAACCACTGAAAAACCTGGGAATACCGGACAGCTGTTTCGTCCTAGTTTGGGACTCTTCATCAGTACGTGCCCACCGGGATTCAAACCCAGGCTCGTGGACCGTTGAGCCACTGGGACCCGTTCCAATGGCCAAAGAATTCTAACTTCTGCCAATTCACGACATAGCGCTACCCCAGTCAATTTCTTCGGCGAGTATTTTTCCTCACAACCGACCTGCTTCACCCTACTGGTCACGACTTCTCACTAGATCCCCAGGTAATGGAGATAGATCGCTGAGGAGACCATCGGGTGACATCACGCATCCAGGCTTCGAGTGGAATCTTAATGGAAATGATGAGCTGAGTATCCAAGGATGACATGGAGGAGACTACGTGAGACTATGGTCAGTCGTGCAGCCAGATGAAGACGACTGTGGAGAACAGGCTGGTGTAGAAATGTACTGTTGAAGCCTTATGTCCCACTCGAAAGCCAGTGGGACATACAATATTTTTTTCCTTTACGTTCCCCAGTGGAACATAGGGCTTCAAGCTAGAAGGCTTGAAGTTTCTGTAGCAGTGTTTACTTTTACAGGATAAGGTTGTTAGCCTCATGCCCAACGTTTCCTCTTTACCAGCATTATTTCTGGCCTAGCGAGGTAAAGGAGTGCCTCTGTGGCCGCGGATCGAACCCCGGACCATGTGCATGGTCGGCGAGCGTGCTACAATATTACTATATAATAAATTATATTGCAGTAAAGCCAGAAACCAGTATAGCTCAGAGTCATATCAATTATAATTGCATTCCTCTACACCTGCAACCATCAGTTTTACTCGCTTTAATGTTATAATTCAAGTTGCAATGTGGTATAGTGTGTGAAAATGTGAATTAATTAACTAATCAACTAATCGCCTACTGAGCAACTCCAGACAAATATTAATCGATATATGTTAGTAATACTCACATAAATACCTACATATATACACACACAAAATCAAGTGTTAATATTAGTCACTTAATAAGTTAAGTGTAGAGCACACAATTAGAAGTTACAAGTTTCTGTGATTATCAAGTATTTTAAACTAAATAATATTAACTTCCCTTGATGCAAAACAAGTACTTTGATATGTAATCAATTGTGTGCAGAAATAACAGAAAACCACAACAAGGTGTAGATTTTTTACATTAGGCACTGGTAAAGATTTGAAGAAATTAGAGACATGGTGACTAGCAGTGAGAATCTAGGATAGTGTGTATTTCGTCCTATTTTGGACTCGTCAGCTAGTGGGTGTAACTGCCTTTCTACAGTGAACAATAGTGTGCCAACTGAGACTTGAAATCAACACTCATTGACAGGGAGAATCGCAAGCCAAACACTCAAAGGTTTCTGCATAATGTGCTCAGAAAAGTCCACATTTTTGTCAGCGTTTTCACTTTATTACCACCTGCTGTTGTACCAATGGTTTCCCAGTGGAAAACAGGACTTCTTACAGTCCTTTTCATCTGGCCCCAAGGTCAACTATAACCTAAAATCACCGCACAAAAATCTCTTCTATGTCACCCTTGGACTGCTACCCAACTCATAGGTTCCCATTTAGGTATCACTCGAGAGATGGCTTGAAGTGGAATGTGATTCGACGGTCTCCTCAGCGTGTGTCAAATCCACCTCCATTTCCTTCGACATATTTATTAAAAATAGGTTCTTGATTGGTTCGTTAGTTGCCATAGTTGCTTGTTAATGATTCTTTCTACCTAACCATTTCATCTTCAATATGGAGCTGGCGAAGGCAGGTGTTAACAAAAGTCTGTAGCTGACTGACTGTTGGAAAGGCTTTTCATAACCCACGCACCAAGTCTCTGATTCATATAGAAGCACTAGCTGACTTAACATTTGTGTTCAAAATCCGAATCTTATTCTTTATGCTGACTGAATGCAGAAGACTTCCAAAGTGATTTCAGCGTGATCAAGGTGTGCCTCACCTTTCCGATGACCCTGGAGAGCTTTGACATCCTCATCTACACTGTAGCATGTAGTTAGAATAATGCCTCCTAGATAAGTGAATGAAGTAACCTTCGTTGTTGATCGTTGGTTATTTGCATCTCTTCAGTCAGTCATCTCTCTGCTTACTTGACGTCCTGTCTTTGTTGCAAACCCCTTCTGAAAGTTTGTTAGTTTCCGCCCGTTGTTAGTGTGACTTTAGATATAAATCGTTCACAAATTACAGATCTTCAAAAGTCTTTCAGTCAGTTCAATGTATTCGTGTCTTGTTGATCCCCACAGACCAGCACACTTTTCCCTTAGATGGAAAATATCATCATCCGGATACTTTGTGTTGATACAACTGTCCCCTGATAAAAAAACACAATGCCTAATTCACTGAAATCAGTTAGGATGAATTCCAGTAGTACATCTGTGGTAAGAGCTGTCTGTGCTAGCCAAAATTGGTAGACAGAAATTTACGTCAATATTTACGTCCTAAATCCTAATCATGAGAAAAAAACACAGACTAAATCAACAACCAATCACAGCAGACCTTGGGTGGGCTGATTCGATTCGCGGATATATATGGTCTGACCTTGAAAGAAACGGCCACAAAGAGATGATAGATTAATTTTCAGCGAGAAAACAACCAATCAGAAGACGCCGTTTCTCTGTTAATAATAACGAATAATAATGTACATAAAAAATATATACATAAACATCTGTTGATTTTCTCAATAAACGATCTGTCGCCTGGCCTTTGTCTTCCGTCGTTACACACTTACCGTTTTTTGTTAAACTAAACAGTATACATATAACCAACAAATAAATACTAATTACTGTTATTATTATGATATTATTATTAACTTACTGTTATGCATTTTCAGTATATTATACGCCATAGCTAAAAGTAACTTTTCACCTTCTAACAAGTATATATCCCATAATCGAAGTACCAATGTGACAGGTAACTATAGCAACAAAACAGTGTAAACAATTCAGTGGTTAGTACTTCAATATTAAGCGAACATGAATCACTATACAGAGTTTTTAAAAGGAGAAAAAAGAGATAAAATACTTCCACAGTTGAAGCTATATAGATAATTTCAAAGTGTAACTCTTTTTTTGACTGGAAAAAACCAACAAACCAATGAGACAAACGGAAAAACGATACAAATTTATTACATTTCGATACAATTTGATACGATGAATTACGTAATCAATAAAGTAATAAAATGACTAAAATAGGAACAATAATTATTGAGTGAAAGTGGATACCGAAAAACGTTTAGTGGTAGAATTACGAATGTTACTCTCAGGTAAGCGCGAAAAACACCATGTCCTAAGAAAAAAAACTGAAGCTCCTTGGTGGTATGATCGATTCAATGATAATGAATGCAGTAAAAAGAGGATTCAATGAAGCATATGTTCACAGTCTCATCACATCTATTACAACTTTAGGTTTTGTGAATTAAAAATAAACTACTTCACTTTCACTTCCTGTATATGTGACTGCTAGTTCTTCTATACGGATGGATCAGAAACTTGGCGGGCGGGTCACAAAGAATATTTCCAACAGCCTGTTGCAGACCTTCATCAACCAACATCTGTCTTCGCTGGCTCTATACTGAAGATCAGATGGCCAGGCCGGAAAGAATCACCAACAAGGAACTATGGGAACAAACAAAGCAAGAACCAATCGCCTAACAAATATGCAGCAGAAAGTGAAGAGATGGATTGGACACTCACGGCTGAGGAGGCCGCTGAGTGACATCGCGCGCGCGTCAGTCCATTGCTCCAGTGGAGCCCGAAAGGGAAGCGGCCAGTGGAACGTCCAAGGGTGGGTGACATGGAGGAGATCGTATGAAGAGGAGTTGAAAGAGTATGGACTAACATTGATTCAGGTGAAAAGTACATCAGAAGACAGAAGCAAGTACAGACGTGCAGTTGAAGCCCTGTGTTCCGCTAGGAACCCAAGGGAACAATAATAATAATTAAAGTTTAACTGCTCGTAAGAGGATATATAATTAGGGATGTTCAAGGATATGCGAATGATTTAGTCCTCCTCCTAGGTGAAGACGCTGATAACATAGAAAGTCTACCGAACATCTTAAGCAACAATCTTTTATTGTTTGTCAGGAAGTTTACTATTGTCAAATGTAGGACATTTCTACAGGACAGGACGACATCGACTCACTCCTAGCTTAAAGACAGGGAGTAAAGCGGCAGAGAATGTTGATGACTTCATTTATTTGGGCAGTTGAATCAGCCCCAATAGGTATTTGCCAACCTATGTCATTTGTGGTGTTAACGTGATATCCGGCAACCAATCAAATGATGTATGTACTGGTCAGCAATTAGCTCAGTCCTCATTCTTGGCTGTGAGACGTGGTAATTGAAAGTAAAGACACGTGTTACGAATGTCTAACCACCAATCACCTTCCTCGACGGGCAATATTAGCTGACATAGGATGAGTCAGATTGGAAAAGAGCCAGAGATGGTGGTCAAACCAAAACATGGTTTCATCAGTCAATGAAATCCACGACAGTTAGTTTAAGCCAGACACGTAAGGAGGTGTAGACTTCCTCACTGGTTGGGATCCTTGGAATGCTAAGAACCAATAAAGGCTGGAGACAATTGGTGATACGGCTCAAAATCGTCCTCAATGGTTGGCGCATATGCATTCACTCCTCGCGATTTATCATACCTAATAAAACCCTTGTTGTTTCTCTGTGTTCTTATTCTTTCTTCTGTACACTTCTGTTTATTATCGTTTTTAGAAATCTCTTTTTTTCCTTTTTTTGCCCTCCTTTGTGTGCTACATAGAGTGTGGTAAGTAGGACTGCTGCACTTCTGTGCAAAGTTCTATGTTGTTGTAAACCAATCAGATAGGGATGTTCATCATCGGATTTCTGAACACCATCAACTCAATGACCAACCAACGAATTCCAACTTCTACCAATTCGTGGTTTTAGCGCGACTGGAACCAACAAACGAGTATTTGTCCTCACTCCCGAAGGGTTGGACTCCACTGGTTACAACTTCTTACTAGAACTCCAGGCGACTTCATTCTGCAGCCAGTTACTAGGAAGCAACAGATTAACTTTCAAGAGTTTGTCTTGTAACAGGAAGATTCTGAATTCGAATCCCGGTGGGTAAGTACTCTTGATGAGTGGCAAACTACGACTAAACAGCTATCCAGTACTATGGATCTATTTAGTTTTTCTGAAGTTTTTAGTATGGTTATTTCATCTTAATTTTTATTGATTAACTCGAAATACTTGGTGTCTTTATTTAGGCATGTCAGAGGCTCCTAGTATAGATCCTTTAACGATGCTCTAACATGGTTAACAAGATGTTATTTGGTAATTAATACTTTTGGTTAGCAGTGAAATTCAAAATGTAAGTTTCTATCCTATTCAAAATTCACCAATGTTGCGCACGACTCCAGCTAGGAATATCAGCATCATCCCACTGGAAATGTAAGTACACTCAATTGATGAGTTCTATGAAGGACAGATGAAAAGCAGCAATCTGTTTGAATCACTGGATTACTAAAATCTTTTTTGCATATATCAAAATGTATCTTATTTGCTGTATTTCAAATTGTTGCAACTATCCGACTGCGCTCACAAATGGTAACCTATTCCCAGGCATATTTTCAATACGGTTTCAACCAAATGCTACGGACTTTTTGAAGGAAATGTGAGAAAATTATCTCCGTTGTCTCCCATTTGTCATTCCAAATCTAAAATTAGTATACAATTGGTGGATGGTGGCTAGCAGTGGAATCCAGGATGCGCATTTCGTCCTAATTGGGACTCGTCATCTGGATGTACCTGCATTTCTCAGTGAGTGATGTTCCCACCGAGGCTCGAACCCAGTACCCATAGTTTCGAACGCCAAAGCGTTATCCACCAATTGTATACTAATTAAATACCCAGACATCTTCGAAGCATCTGCACAAGAAGCCGACATGTCAACCTGAGACCGAGCACTTCGGTTCAATCAATCGACGGGAAAATCAAAAATTCAATTCAATAACTAAATCTAAAATGTCTTAAAATACTGGATTCTATCTTATCAAATTTCACACTATACTATGTAACCTTTTATATTAGCCTACTAATCCTATAATTACATACCTCTTTCCAAGACCTATACACATCTTACGAATTATTCTGCAAATGACATTAATTGTTTCGCCACTTGAAATTTAACTATGATTATAATCACAAACATTTAAGGCTTGGTTTTGTAGGGATTTTTTTTGACTGATTGGAGGATCTTACATTGAACTGACATCAGTTAGAGAACAATTGAAAAACCTGGGAGTACTGGAGAGCTGCTTCCTAGTAGTAGCTGAATGGTCTGCAAGCTCGCATTGTAACCGGGAGGTCCTGGGTTCCAACCCCGATGGGTACATATTGTTGATGATTTCCAAACTGAAACAAAACAGCTGTCCAGTACTGCCAGGTTTTCCAATGATTCCCTAACCCACGATATCCTTCAACCAATGAAACAAAATCCCTACAAAGACCACTACTTGAAAATTAATCCGATGCTCACTAGCGACTGGCCCTATTCCGGTTGGTAGTTACCTGGGGTTCTAGTGGGAAGCCGTGACCAGTAGGGTGCAGCTGGTTGAAGCTGAGGACAGTTATCCACCGAAGAAGACATTATTAGCTAGTGGTGGCGCTATATCATGAATTGGCTAAAGTTAGAATTCAAGGGCTGGCCACTGGATTGGATCCCAGTGGCTTAATGGTCTACGATTGTACAGCTTGACATTAAGTTCATTGAATAGAGTCTCTTCGTTGAATATTATGTTCTTGATAAACAAAGTATATTCTTAAAATTGTGTGATAAGTGGTTTTATCTAATGCTACTTGATGGTTGTTGCACGCAGCTGAAGAGAAGAGACAAAGTAAAATACCTCCATGTCATTCTACGCTAATGTTTGTTCTGCCTCCCTCTTTTCAAAGTGACTACTGTTCTTATTACATTGAAATATTACACTTTATCATCTTTATTCATGAAAGGAGAATAAAGCTACCATTATTATTATTATTAAAGATCATTTTCAACTTACCCGATCTAAAAAACACTGCATATACCATTTCAGTGCATATGTACTAGTTAACATATCATGTTTAGTGAAATGTTTATCTAAGATAGGCAGTAATTTTCGTACAATCCGTTCATGATGAGCAAACAGACGTTTGAGTCCAGGGAAATCAGCAACATATACACTATGCATATTATGTCGATAACCGGTCATCAATTGATTCAATGCCCAAAATGCATCTTCTTCATCTTCAATATAAATAAGAAATAAACCAGCCAATTCACTCATCCCCTGAAATAATAATAAGGAGAAAAAAAAATAAAACACATTATGAAGTAATTGTGAATACTTATACATGGTTTAAATTAGTGCTTATAGGATAAGGTTGGAAAGGGGTTAGAGGAGCGGGGGGGGTCAAACCTTAATCCGGAGTTAATCCAGGAAGTATTTAGTAGTCATGTAGTAAACTGCCTGTTTGGGGATCTCGAGGTATTAAAAATCAATAGTTTGTAGTTGTGCAGGTGAATCGATTGAGATGGCTAGGAAACGTGTTGTGTAACCTGAGCCACCAACTTCCTCGACGAGCAATGTTAGCTGACACATGATGACATTTGGAAAAGGGTTAAGGATGGTCAGACCGAAAATTGGCATCAATCCATACAGTATTTGACAGCTGATTTGAGACAGCCACACTAAGGAAAGTGTAGACTGCTTGGTTAGGGTCTTCTGGATGCTACGAGCCAATTAGCTACAGACTGTCAGTGATTTGGCTCAAAATTGTTGTTAATGGTAGAGATGCATTCACTCTTGTAATACCCAAGACACATTCGGTCTGTATATTTGTCAATGTTACTATTCTGTCTTTCGAACATTCCCGCTCGTTATAGTTCTCTTCAATATCTTTTGTCTCCCTTTGTGTGTTACATGAAGTGTGGCGACTTGAACTTCTGCAGCACTTCTGTGTAAGAATCCATGTTGAAACTCAATAAGTTAGTAAATCTTTGTATTTTAGTTGAAATATTTAGTGTGCAACAACGGTTATCGATAGATAACTCCACACTAACACGAGTTTTATCCATCTACATTATTCACGGTTAAAGAAATGAGTAAAAAAAATGCCTTTTATGATGAACTGAAGGTGGCAAATTCAGTTAGTGAAAAATTGAAGAGTGTATACATGCACTATTCCTTGAAGACTTTGCAGCAGTGTGTAGGAACCAACCCAGGATTGCCACTCAGTTAACCACTTTGAAACTTGATATTCGACCTTTTCTCATACTCGCTGATTCATAAAAGGGTGGAACTGTCATTCAAAAATGACATCACTGAGTCGTTATCCACACAAACAATACATACACACTATACCGAACTGAACAAAACGTAGACAAGTGTATGGCGGGAATACTACTCTGCTAGGGTAAGGAGAGTATACCTAGTGCTATTGAAAACTAAAACTGAGTTTAAAACCCCACACTGGCAGTGATTTAGCTATGTACAAATAGCGTATTCGAAGTAATCTAGTAGAGCATCAAGAAACTCCATAGACTACAGAGACAAAGTTCTGAAGAATACTGCTACCAACATTGTTTTCTTCTCCCCGAGCTACCCAAATTGGATAATGTCTAGAAATGCGACTGGTTTCATAAAATGTGTTTTTCAGAGGTGTGGAAAACTAGTCTGCTGAGACTTTCTGCTAAAGTGTTACAGACTGAACTCCAGGTTCATGAGATTTTTCTTAGGGACAATCGGGACCATCTTCATTGAAGCTATTTGCTGACATTGTGGTTGATAAATTCTGGGTGGATATCTACTCTGTAACAAGCTTTCATGTAGAGATTTCAATTCACCTCCTACTGTATCGTCAAAAAAATTTTCCTAAACTGTGAACATCATAAACTTGTTCACATTTTTTCTGATCAGTGTGTATGTATCACTGAACAGATTCACTGAATTTTAAACCGATAAATTTGCGCAAAAATACGGCAGTAAAAGTTGTCACACTTCATAATGCACACATTAAAGTAGACAGTAAGAAGAAATGTCATCTTGGAGAGAATAAAACGCCGAATGGATGCAGATCTCTGCCAGCCCAGCAGATGACACTACTAACTGTGGAAGACTTTGACGAGCAACAAGACAAGAATATGTTGAACTGATAAGAAGACCCAAGAAGATCTGAACTTCGCGGAGATTTATGTCTGTCTCAAACTCGGAGATCTAAGGGCGAAAACCAACAAGTAGATATAAAGTGTGGACAGCAAAGACAGAACTTCAAGTGGACATGTGGAAGACGGGGGTGACGAAGATCACTAACCAACCAATAATAACAAGCACCAATTACTATCGACCGGAGAAACTAGAAAGAGGTCACATTGTTCGCTTATCTAGGAAGTATAGTTTCAACTACAAGCCGTGGAATGGCTCAGAATGTGAAACCAGAATTGCAAAGGCATGACAAACCTTCTTCTCTCTGAAATCAGTTTGGAAATCTTCTTCAGTCAGCACAAAGAACAAGATACTAATTTTCAACACAAATGTTCACTCACATTTTCTACATGGGTCAGAAACTTAACATGCGCATCACGTACAGCATTTCCAACAAATTACAGACTTTTTGTCGACAGCTGTCTTTGCTGGCTCTATGATGAAGATCAAACGACTGGCCAAAAAGAATTAGCGGCAAGAAACGTTGGGAACGAATCGATCAAAAACCTACTGTTCAACAAATAGAGATGGATTGCGTACACACTGAGGTGATCATCGAATGATATCGCGAACCAAGTGATCGATAGAGTGGGACCTGAATAGGAAAGGATGAGTTGGGCTGGGGTGTGAGGGTGACATGGAGGAGATCGTGTGAAGGGTATATGAGAAACGATGGGGGCCAGATAAACAGGACCGCAGAAAACAGAACAAAACGGAGATGTGTTGTTAAAGTCCTATGTTCCACTCCGAACCCAAGGAAACAATAATAATAAAGAACTGCAAAGAAACTATAATAAACCAAAATGTACAGGAGAAAGAATAACTAAATGAATAATAATGAGAATTCAGTGCATCTTGAAAGTGATAACGAATGAACGAATCTTAGCTATATACCTGCAAACCAACACTTGAAAATTAATCTGATTCTAACTGGCGACTGGCTGTATAGAGAAAATTTCCCAGAGTTTTATTGAAAAGTTGTGACCAGAGCAGTCCACCAAATTAGGTGAAGGGATAGTTACTCGTCGATTGCTGGTGGTTGCACTGTATATATTGCGAACTAGACGATAAGGTTTCCATCACAGTGGGGGAATGGTCTACAAGCTTACCTAGTAACCGGTAGATCCTAGGTTCGAACGTCAATGGGTAAATACTGCCGAAGAGTCCCAAACTAGGACGAAACAGCTATCCAGTATACCCTGGTCTTCAGTCATTGGTTCTTAAAGTCTCGATGACAGTCTGCACTTTCCTACCTGGCTTAAACTAGCAGTCGAAAACTTCATAGATTGATTTCACTACTTCTAACACCTTGTCAACCAAAATTCTAGGATAGCTAACATTGCTTGACGATGAAATCAATAACCTGGTATGCATACCACGTGTTTCTTTGTTTACATAGAAGGCGACTTCACCCTTATATGCTTATATTAACAGCATAAGTCTTTATAATACACTTAAATTTTTATATTACTATAAATAATAATAATAATACTGGCAAAATGAATGTGCATATAAAATTGAATCTCCAGAATAGAATAAAAATAAAAATTATTTGAAAGTTGACATTTTGGACATATCACAAGTATGAAAGCAATTAATTTTGACAGTAAAAAGAAAAAAGATTGAAAAAAATAGAATTTTAATCTATGCAAAAAGTTTTGAATAGGTAGTAGTAGCAGACAGGTGGATAGGAGAAGATGAAAAGTAGAAAATAAGCGTAGAAATTGAAACAGAAAGTTAGAAAAGGAAATAAATAAGTAAAGCAAAAATACTTTACAACGAAAACTACAACAAGGTGAATTAAGATGGAATGTTAGATGGTTGGAGGCAACCGGCCACAGGAAGCCTTGGACCTAGACTAGGTTTCGTGCTAGTTGCCACTCACTAGTCACAGCAAGGCGTATCTGCAAACCTGAAGAAACCGATGTCATTTCTGGGATTCGAACCCAAAGAAAGGAATAAGCACACTACTACACTAGTTACTAGGTAGCGTCCAATCAAAGTATCCAATACAGTCCTACAGAAGGCCAATCGCAATCCCGAATAGCTCAGCGGTAACGTCGCTGACTGCAGTGCTCACTGGGTGACGCGAGTTCGAATCTCAGAAGGGACAAGAGGTCCTTCAAGGTCGCAGACACGTTTTACTGACTGGTGAGTGCCAACAAGCACGAAAACTAGGTCAGGCAAGGCTTCCTGTGGCCGATCGCCTCCAACCATCTAATTTCATCAAATCAATATGCACCGTGATGGCAACCTGCTTAGAATGGCGGCCACATTGCAAACCTGACTGACTGATAGAATTCAGTCTGCATCAAAGAAACAATTAGACACCTCACACTAATTACTAGTGTCCAATCAAAGTAAATGGGATGTATTCAACAGGTAGCGTCGTATACACACAAGTGAATAATAGGAAGAAACATCATTCAAAAGAGACAGGACTTACTACAGAACTCCTGTCTTGAGAAGAATACAAGAGAAATATTTTGTCAGTGTCGGTAAACACGGAATCATTTGTCTGTTCAAAATGATCTCTATTTTGCTAGAGACAAGAAGAGGGCTATCGTTGCTTAATCGTATACTGGTTGGCAGAGGACTGCAGAATTAGGATCAGAAGTTTTCATAGACTTGGAACGTAGTCAATTGTAATTCTGTTTCTTAATCGGCGGAAGAATAAAAAATCGTATTACTCTACCGTATTCTGTCGTTCCGCGTCGGTTGCTGTGTATGGTACTCTGTGTATTAAGCGATAGGTTCAGGATCTCTGAGATCTGGATAATTAACTTATAACAGGAATTCAAGTGAACACAGAGAAGGCAAAGGGGATGGAGATAACTAACCAACGACAGCCGCAACAACAACAACAAGTACCAACTTAACTGACTAAGAAGCATCGTCTCGACTATGAGGCGACAGAGATGAGAATGAGATGGCCGGCCAGAAAGGATTAGCAACAAGGAACTCTAACAACGAAGTAACCAAAGAGCTATCGCCTAACAGCTATGTAGAAGGAATTAGAGATGGATCGAAGACACACTGAGAAGACCGCTGACTGACATCGCTCACTAGACAGACTATCGAATGGA